TATAAATAGAGTAAGAGGAAATAGTTTGTGGTCTATGGGCCAGTTGGTTTCGAGTCTAGGCAAAAATACGGTTTGGTAACTGTCCAAAGAGGTTTACTCTAAAATGAATTGAAAGTAATCTGGGTCACAATGTGAGTCGAAAACATTAATACATATCAAACAGTTACATCCTACTTAAGTAACTGATTTATCATGCGTATAATATAAAGCGCTTATTTTATAAAATAATATATTTTATTTTAAGCGCTTATTTTATATGTGACATATACGAATACTACCAATTGCATAAATGACATGTATAAATGTTACTGCAGGAACAGGAAGAGTTTAATTAAAATATGGTCAAATGTTAAATATTTTAAATTGCAAATATTTCAGTATAAATTATCTTAAGTTGACAAATGTAAGTAGTTAATGTCAATTAAAGTTAATGTAGTTACAGCAAATTTTATCCCCAAAAATTTGAATATTTTCTAAAATAATAGATATGTGATAATATTAAGATATAATATTGAGATAGTGAAACAATTAATTTAACAAGGTAAATGTATCACTATCTGTAAGTAAGTGTTCCGATAGCTTCCTTTTTATTTTTTATTTTTATCGCAATTATTCTTTGATTAAATGAATGATTTGAACAAACTCTTTATTTTCCACGAGCAATTAAATAGTGAAAATTATTTACAATTAGAATTTTTCTTATTTATGTAAGCGTAAAAGATTAAGTTGTATTACATAATTAATTTTATTTTCCAAAACTCAGTTTCTCTTGTAATTTCTTTATCTATTTATACAATACAAGGTCAAAATGGAGAGAGAGATGGTAAAAATGATCGTGTATATCTATGTATACCTATAAGTGATTCTTATTCTTCTCCATACAGTAAGTCATAAAATATGAATCGAAATTATTAAAATAAAAGAACTACGCGAAAGAACTTTTTAATATTTTTTATTTAGAAACACATTCTGTATGTGTATTAAAATATTATTTTTTAAAATTCTCCTACAGACATTTTAAGCTGAAATGAAATTCATCACGTTTCAAGTAACACTTCAGCTGGTGATGCTTAATGCTATGTTTGCATTTAGGTGGAAACCAAGGGTCGACTTATCACGTAAACTTTATATAAATGCCTGCAAACAGGAAAATTATGCTGGAACGTGTCTTAGATTAATTTTCCAGATATCAAGTTAATGGTCGGTCACGTGAATGCATGTTGCTCTGGCTACGATCTTTTGCAGTCACATATATTTATTGCTACAAGTATGATAGTGGATCACTAATATTTTCATTAAAAAAAACGCAGCTATTATTTATTATTCTGTCGGCTACTTTAATTTCTAATTCAACTTAATACCCTATTTAGGAATATTCTCATTAAGAACGTATCGATAATTGTTCCCACATAAATGGTAGTTTATTAGATCATTCGTGCATAACAACACATGACAGGCTAGTGTTTATTGAATGTAGTAGAAAATAATTGACTTGTGAATTTTGAATATGACACTTAACTTGCTTCTTTTTTCTGCTTATATTGTATAACGTTAATTTTGTAATAAATTTACTGACATTGTTATGGTGTATGTTTTCAATATCATTCCGCTAAACAGTATTTCATAATATACATATTCACTTAGTTAATACAGTAGATTACACAACACATTTTATTTTAAATCAAACTTCAGGTACGTGCAATAAGCATAAAAAAGTAAATTAATTTTATTATGTGTGTATATATTGATATTGATTTGATTTGAAATAAATTAACTTTTAAATTTATTTTATACTTTATATTGCCTACCTTCTTTAGTAACGATTATAAGATATATATAGACTACGATTATAATAATCGACACCACGAGTTGATCTGCGACCGTGTATCAGCTCCGGTGAGAGCGTCGTCGACGTAAAAATCGCGCTGCAAAACTGATGACGCTCGCGGGAATCGATATCCCTCGTCGTCCTCCAACTGTTTTAGGCATCGTAAGGCTAGGTATGGAGCTGCAGATAATCCGAACGTTACAGTATTGAGTTGATATGTTTCGACCTCACCGTTGGAGTTGAGCCACAGAATTTGTTGATATTTCCTATCTTCTGGGTGTACTAGGATTTGTCGATATATCTTCTCAATATCACCAGTTAGCACGTATTGGTGAGAGCGGAATCTGAGTAAAATATCAAAGAGATCCTCTTGCAACTTCGGTCCTATGTGCAGGATGTCGTTTAAGGAAACTCCGGTGGTGCTGGATGCCGATCCGTCGAACACAACCCGGAGTTTGGTGGTATCGCTTGATTCCTTTACTATGCCGTGATGCGGTAAATAATATCGGCAGCCTGTGGATTGACCAGTGGTGACCTTAGTCATATGTCCCAAATCTAAATAGTCTTGTATCACCGCACGATACGCGGATTCAAGTGGTTTATCGCGCTGGAATCGGCGGTGAAGAAAGGCGAGTCTATTCAATGCGACCGACTTCGACGGCCCAAGGGAAGGAAGCTTCTCATTGAATGGCAGAGCGACGATGTATCACCCTTCTCTGTTGCGTTGGACATGGTTTCGGAAATGGTCGTCACATTGTCGTTCCGCTTCTGAAAGGTGTGTGGTGGACGGTCCCTTGTCGATTTCCCAAAAACGGGCGAGATCCGCTTGTATTTCCGTTGTGCTCGTATGAAATGAGCGAGCTCTCAATTGAGAGGTTGGGCTCTTCCCCCCCCCCCCCCCCC